AAGTCTAATATAAAAGAGATACATCTTCAAAAAAACAAATAATGAAAGTCTAAACAAACTTTGTTCGTATTAAAATATCCGAATTTTTTTCTAATACAGATTTACATATCATTTCTTGTGTTCTTGCTATAGCTTGATTACTTGATACACATAGATCTGACAAATATTCAAGAAATCTAATTAATAAAAAAGAAAAATTTTTGCAAAAAAAAATAAATTTGTTTTTTTTTCATTACTTGCAATCTCGTTTTTCTCGTAATAATTTAACGAATGTATCGATTTCTTTTTCTGTTATATGTTTTTCTAATAATTTCTTATTATTATGTAATAATGCAGTTATAGTATCTTCAGCAAGTATATCAAAACCAATTTGAGATTGCATAAATGAAAATTCTTTCGCAATAGTTTCCTAAATCAAATAATTAAATAAACAAAAACAAAATTTCGATAATTTTTTTTTCTACTTGATTTTTTCGATATTCCTGTTGACAATGTTTAAGTATGCGATAACAAAGTCGACATATTGTTTTCATTTGATAAAATGTTGTTGAAAAGCGTATATCAGCATCTTGTTGTTGTGGTAATATATATGAATCATTATTCGCTAATGTTGTATTTTGATGTTGAGTAAAATGATAATCAGAACGTGTTGTTGATGCATTTGCTGCATTCATATTTGAACGTTCTTGTTCTAAACGTGGTTTTAATGAACGAAGAATACGAAATAACTATATGAAACAAAGAAATCTAGTTGTTTGTTTTTATTTTAAGGAAATTAATTACTTGTTTAAGAATATTTTGTTCACGAATTAATTTTTGTCGTTCGCGATTTGGTTTTAAAATTTGAACATCAAATGGATCTCTACCATTACTTTCTTGACAAGCAAGAAAACAAACGATATCTGTTAGGAGTAATATCACTTGCCTAAAAACAACCCAGGAAATTATTAATCAAATTATTCGAACTGTAGAAATATATTTAGTGCATAAGTTTTCAATTAGAACATAATTCTTTCTTTATGATAGACATTAAGATCCAATTAGTTAGTGTCTTTCTATTTTAGAACGAATATTGATTATCCTCTACAGTAAATAGCATATTTCGTACATCTGTATTTCCATATGTTTCATTATATATCATCATGCTGATACCTTCTCAGCATGTTCGAGTAGTTTTATATGGAAAAATATTGTGCACCCTAACTATGTTATTTATTATCATGTGTAAGTTGTACTTATATCTAATCATAGATCGTTTTCATCATATATTCTATTCGTCTGTTGTCAACTAGGTTTATCTCAAAAAGCCCTTGATTTATGATTTAATCTTTGACAGCATTAGGATAAGTTCTCAAGCCTTCGAAAAAAAAAGAAAGTAACATTTTTCTTTATCAAAATATAATTGGTATGAATGGATGG